TGACCCCCCTAATTATTTAGTATTATTCACTGAACTGGGTTTTTAAAAACCTAATGACCATTTACAATGGAAGCCTGAACTGCACCAAAAGGAAGTAGTGTAATATCAAGACTGCACTTGGTGTAGCAGGATAATCAATAAAGCCAGAGCTCACTGTTACTGCTACTAGCTTTCAGGAGCTGGACTTAATGTCTAACAACCTGCACTTAGCCGCACTACAGTCAGTCAAAACATTTACTTCTCCTTTCCTTGCACCACTTACTGTGGAGGTTTGATGCCTGACAGAGCATGGTCCAGGATGGAGTGTCCAGATTGCCATTGATCCAGTCAGGAAGTCAAGTATTGGATTTCTGTAGTTGTCCGTACTTTAGATTACCACAGAGGAAACACTTACTAATCTTATAAAGACCAGCCACTTAACAAACCAGTCAACCAAGCAATCAGACTACAGTAAAGCAAAATGGTCAAACTCCTGGAACATTTTATATTTTGTCACATTACAATCTTAAACTTCAATTTTATTTATTGAGATTTTATGTGAAATACCAACATAAATAAATACACATCTTTTAAATACCAGGGAAGTGATGCATTTATTTTTTTTCACTTTCTAAATTCCAAAGTTCGACTCTATCAGCTTTGCAAATTAAAATAATTTCAGATAAAACTCAAAACTAACCCTTTTCTATAATTTGGTTTATAAATCTTTATTTCAGTTCTGATTGAAAGCCCCTTCTCCTTTGGAGAACAGCATTGCCGCTGCATGATGCTGCCACCATCATGCCTCGGTCTCAAGAGATTGTGTTTAGAATAATCTGGACAATAAATTTTCTGCCACACACAAGCATGCATTTAGGCCAAAATATTAACGTTCTCCCACATATGTTCTCAGTTCCCGAAATTGATTTTAGCTGGCTTTAAACTTGATGTTAAATATGGCTATCAATTAATAATGGTTGTATTATTAAAACCATTTTAATAATATGGTTTTATTGTCTCTTTATTGAAGATAACGCTTCAATAAAGAGACATCAGACAATTCTTGATCTTAAGTTGATGGACTGACAAGAACTTTGAGAATTTTTTTAAACTTTACAGCTTTATTCTTTACCAGTATAGTGTAATTAGTTTTTTTCACTATTCTCTCTCACTCAAAAAAAAAAGCCTAGGGAAAGGATCTATATTTATTCTGAGATTAAATCACCTACAAATGTTGGAGCATCAAAAGAAGATAAATATGTGCAGATGAAACACATTCCTGATTTTAAGTTGTAAAAACATTTTGAAAACCATGTGTCCTTCCACCTCACAGTAATGCATTACTTGGCTTTGTGCTGCACAAAACAATGACAATTATACGGAATGAGGTCTGTGGTTGCAATGTGAGAAAATATAAAAAATTTAAAGGTGTATAAACACCTTTTCAAGAAACTTTAAATTTGCATGTGTGGGAAAGAAACTGACAATGTATGTGTCAGTTTCTTTCCTCTACATGCAAATTTACAGTGGGACATTTAAGTAGGTTAGATACCTGGATAATATGTACCACGTGTGGGAGCAAGCATACTGTTCTTGATTCTAACAAACCTATTCAGTTGAGTAATGTCTCATTCTTCAGAAAATTTGATATGAGTCCTGAATAAAGTACATTAATATCTGAACAAGCATTTTATTGCCATCGTTGTGGGTGTGTCTATAGCAACATAAAGCCATCTACAATGGATTAAGGGATTACAGCAACAATTGGTATCATGCAACACTGTGTGTGTTTGTGTGTTTCCCTCATTCATGTGAACCCATCAGTTATCAAACCCATTTCAAAAACACATGAAGCATATTCCATCCACGAGAAACAGGCAAAATAAGTTTTTCTCCAACCCCAAGGATCATCTTCAATCCCATTCTGTGGCCAGAAGCCTGTCATGGGCAGCACAGTGGATGGGACAAACGATTCAATGGGATCAAGATGATAAAAACACCAAGGTCAGAGGACACTGTCAACCATCCAAAAGAGAGTCAAAAATTGACACTGATCTACTTCTAATAAAAATTTCAACTGCTGTTTTATGACAATAATTATAACTTTTGGATTGTGGGTTCAATAATAAATTTAGGAAAGATTTTCCATTTTTAACTGTTGGCATGCCTAATACGTCTACTGGCAAGTGTAATGTTGTTTACACTGTTGCACCATATAAGCCTATTTCATCACAACTCCTTTGAGGACATGTACTGTCTAAAACACAAACATTGTTTAAAACATAAAACTATTTAAGTAAGTAAACCAGATCCACCCATGATGCTTAATCTAATTCTGTCATATGCAAATTTAATCTGCTGTTTGCATTTCATTTAAGTAATATTTTAAGGACATTACACAACTTATGGTTTAAGGAGAAAAGAAGACAAGGGTTGAGGGATTTTATTGCGCTATCAGTCTTCACATTTTCATCCTGCCACAGCAAAATCTTATATTTTTTCTCACTCATATGAATTATTGATACTATGTCTATGATATCCCTTATAATGAAAAAGTAATGCATAGCTAAAAGACAGAATGTATTCTAGGTCATTGATCACTGAAGACATAAAACTACAGAAGCTTGCTAACATTGTACAGAGAACATTTGATGCTCCTTTTTTTCTGTTTCAGGAAATCTGCTCTTTTCTTCTCTAGGTTGAAGTTTTGCTTACTGAAGGTGTTGTGATTAATCTTCTTCCTCATTATTTGTGGGAGTGCAATAAATGTCACTGCAGCACTGTATTATTTAGGTTTTTTAACCTTTGATTTTTTTTTAAACCAAACTTTTAAACTGTGTTGTGTATTTAATAATTAGGAACAGAAGCTTACTTGGTTGTTAACTCACAATGAATCACTATGAATATTACTATAGCTAAAACTATAGTGTGAAACAGCAGATGAAAGCTTGACTTAATTTTGGAGTTGTACATTTTTCCCTTGAAATAAAGTAAATTAATCAACAATGCATTCAGACATTTCTGCATGGTAAAGAGAATTATCTGGAGTTCACACAGATCATCACAATTTAGAAGCAAGGATTTGAGTGAGTTTGAACAGAAAGAGAGCCTGGGCTTATTATTTTAGAAACTGCTGATCTACAAGGATTTCCACTCACAACCGTCTCTCTGTTTTACAATGGTTCAAAAAAGAGAAGATATCCAGTGAAAGGTTTGTGCTAGTGTAAGAGGACAGAACAGAATTGGTTGTCTGGCTGATGACATAGTTCTACAGAAACTCAATCATTTGCTACATCAATGCCACTAAAAACTTTAGCATAAAACCACACAGGGTGCCACTGCTGTTAGCTCAGAACAGAAAGCTAAGACTTCAATTAACACCGGCTCACCAAATTAATTACAGATTCGAAAAAACTCAGCCTGGTTTGATGAGTCTAATTTTCAGCTCTGACATTCATAGTTGACTTAAACAACGTTAATGTGTGGCTTTCCATAGATGCTCTGGCTGGTGGTGTGGTTAAGGTCATATTTTCTTTCCACACATTGGACCCCTGGTACAAGTTTGTTTAAATATTGACTTTGATCAGATTTATCTCGTTATAAACCAGAACAAATAATGAACCACCAAAGCAAAGCTCAGGTCAAGAGCTTACTGTGCTTCCATGGCCTCAACCATGTAAGTAGTTGGTTTTACTTAAATAAAATACCTTCTGTTGGACAGTAATGTTTTTTAGTAATGTTGGTAGAGGAAGTGCGTGTGTGTGTGTGTGTGTGTGTGTGTTTGTGTTTTATTTGTGCAAGGACCGCCATTGGCTGTGGCGGCTAAAGGTAGCTCCAAAGCTGTGATGAGTTTCATGCTGAGACACTGACTCCTCTTGAGTATATATACAGATATAAAATAAAAGGTTACTTTTATATCATAACTTAAATTTAAACAGTTTTTTTTTAAAAAGTATGCATTAATCAATTTCATACTGTTCAACAATATGATAAGACTGTATTTTTCTGATAGTGCTTTTTTTTCTTTCCAAACTCCTGATCTAAAGAGAGACATCAATGGGCATGTGCCAACTTCCTGTTTCATTCATTCTGTCACAGAGCAACTAGAGTTCACGTACAGCACTACTCTACTTCACTTCTATCATGTATTTCAAGAGGCAATGCACACATACGTTATTTAGACCACAAACATTTCAAAATAATGCAGAAAAAAATTAATAGAACCATCAAGTGGACAGATTGATTTCCTCTTGTCATTGTTAGTATTTATTATGATGACCTGCGAGGCTTCCCCTGACTGGACAGTTCCAAAACCCCCAATCACATTTTCTTTAGGGCCCCACATGGTGAGAGAACGGCTCTGGTGCCTGAACAGAAAACAATGCAGGTCTCTGCTGAAAGCATATCAAAGAACACAATGGAATAAAAGAAAGAACTCATTTATTCAGCTGTGTTGAGGTTACATCTAACAATTTACTTTGTGGTAATTCCTCAGTTTGGTTGGATGCTATGTCCCCTTACTCCTGAAGTTTCATAGTGCACTAAATGTACCCACCACCCACTCCACTCATCCACCAAACCACCATGTGAATCATACTATTCCAAATGTTCATGTTTTTTTTTTATAGTCTTTTTTGTCTTTGCTTCTCGCTCATGTAAAGGGCATGAATACAGTATAAAGGCTGACAGGGAACAGAGGTGCGTACAGAAATTACACTGTTCAGCAATAGGTCTTCAGTATGAGATTGTTCCTACAGTAGACGTGAAAGATCTCCTTCACATTTCCCTCCTCTCTCTCGGTTTCTTTCCAGCGCTTCGTTCTTTCCAACCTTCTTAATCAAAATGGCAACAACCATCATTTCCTTCATTTGTACGCACTACCGATTTCTGTTCCACTAACGCTCGAAACCTGAGTGTCTCTTATAATAAAAATAATAATAATAAAAACTCAAAAATCCACCCCCCTTTCTCGCTCCCTCCTCTTCACTCTCTTGAAAACTCTTTAGGCTTTTCCAGCTGAGCAGTTCAGGCTGAGGCGGGCGCAACCGCACTAGAGGGAAAGTCAAGTCGTGCTGGACTGGCGCGATCTCCTCGCACTGTTTCCAAATAAAAGGAAGGACTCTACTCCGCAAACAATCATGCTTCTAAAATAATGCAACATGTCGATCGGGTCTTTGCGAGGCATGGCTTTCGTTTTGACGAGCTTGTTCCTGTTTTGGTAAGTGTGGCAACTCTTTCTCTGCATTGTTGGCTGACTTCTTTACGCACGGCAACGCAGTCATATTGTGCACACAGATACTGGACACTCTTGCTATGATTTACTAGCTAATTGAATGATCTGTGTGTGTTGATCTACTTTCAGTGCGAGTACTGTTTGTGAGACGCAACACAGTGAAACCAGTATTTATTTGGATAATATCACGCGTATATTGGACAGATTACTGGATGGCTATGACAACAGGCTGCGACCAGGATTTGGAGGTATATACAGATTTCTATTATTGACTTGCATGTCAATTGCTTGCATTTAACAGTTCGGATTAATTTTTCCTTTTCTTAGCTTTTTTTTTTTTTTGCTCAGAGTTTTACTCCAGTGCGTGTGTACTTAATTTGCTGTTTAGTGCTGAGACAGCTGATTCATCATCTCCAGATTTCAACTGTATTTTTGCTTGATGTTTGAAATTTCTGCTAATTTTTGAAGTTGCCATTACATATTTTAAAATGAAAGTTTGATTGTAACTTTTTTTTAGATGTTGAGGAACATTACGTAGTTTGATCCAAAGTCAGAACAACAACTTATACTTCTGCTGTAGGTCCCGTCACGGAGGTCAAAACTGACATCTTTGTCACCAGCTTTGGTCCAGTTTCAGATGTAGAGATGGTACGTAAGCCTGATTAAATACAAATTTTCAATTTGTAAATATATTGATCTAAATATACTGTTTTCCTAGTGAATCAAAGCATATATGTCTTAACTTATAGCTCTCTCATCCTTCATTATTCGGGCATTTGAGCAGGATGTCATTAGTACAGCTTAGGATTTTAATCTGGTTGGCAATCCCCCCTACTCCTACCCCCTCACCCTCCACTCCATCCTTCCAGAGAGAGAGAGTGGGAGAGAGTGATGTGGCTGATGTTGGGACATGATAGGCTGGCTACTCCTGGCATGGGATAGGCTGACTGATATATGTCTTTTGTGCTCTACTCTGTAGCTTTAGATACTAGTTGACTGCATCTATAGCCTGTAATATGCTGGAGGCATTTGTGTTGTGAAGCATGTGAGCAGCTCTTAAAAGCTGAACAAGATCAGTCCCATGAAAATGTGTTTGGAAACTTTGACTTTGATAAAACATACATTATTGACTTCAAAGTTATTATTTTTATTTTTATTCCCAAAGATATCGGCCCTTTCTGGGCAGTTCGTTTGCTTGTAATTGCTTGTAATCAGATTTAGCAAATCAGACAATTGAATGACAATAGCTAAACATCTAAGCATGCGGAGGACAACTTGCTGAAGTTCAAACCAGGCTTCACAATATGAAAGAAAGGAGATTTAGGTGATTTTGAAAGTGTTGTGGATGTTGGTGCCAAACAGTTTGGTCTAAGTATGTTAGGAATGCTTGCAAAAAATCGTATAAAAGGAGAAACCATCCTTTAAGCGGTGATATGGTGGACAAAATTCTTTGCTGACACAAGAAGTCATAGGAAAATGGGCTGGTTCAAGATGATAGAAAGGGAACAGTAGCTCCAAATATAGTACATGTTAAACATTGAAGCAGATGGGCTTAAACAGCAACAGACTTCTCCACCTTTACCTCCTGTCAGGTAAGAACAGGAAACATTTGCTACAATTTTCACAGTCCCATAAAACTTTGATTCAAGATTTAAAATGAAACATTTAGACATAAAAGTGTGAATCCATCCTGCTTGTGTTTTGGGGATAGTTTCTTGGACACTTGGGATTTCTTAGTACAAAGGAGGAATGCTTAAACTGACAATGTCCATCTCTTCAATGTACCCATCTTTTGAATCTTACCTCCATCATATAATGGACCAGGTTGCATCATTCAAGTCATCTTAAACTTGTTTGTTGAAAATGTCAGTGAGTTCACCTTAATAAAATGACTCCCATAGTAACCACATCTGACAGTGCAATGGGAAATTCACATCATAAATATGCAGCAACTGTTTGACACACTCATATCAAAGCTATCAAACTCTCTAATTACTGATTGATACATTGTGTTAAATGAATGGCATGAAAAATGAAGGCATTACTGAAGGCGAAGGAGATCAAACGCAGTACTAGTAAAGAAACCCCAACAATATCTTTTCATTGGAAGTGCCTAAATAACCCAACCCTTCAGCATTAGCAACTAGCATCCCCTTCCCCCCCAAAAAAATAATAATAATGTGGGAAAATAACTCATAACACTGGCAGCATAGTATCAAGCTGCTTTCTTCAAAAACCATTGCTCACATACCCATCTGTCCTTCTCTCTGGGGTACCAAATAATAATGAGTCAAGATAGTAGATGGTGGAAGCAGCATCAGCAGCATGCATAGTGTTAGTATCAGTAAAACCTGTAATAATATACACTTTGACCCCTTTCCAGGAGTACACCATGGATGTGTTCTTTCGTCAGACATGGATTGATGAGCGGCTCAAATTCGAAGGCCCAATTGAGATCCTGCGGCTAAACAACCTTATGGTCAGCAAAATCTGGACCCCCGACACATTTTTCCGGAATGGCAAGAGGTCAATCTCTCACAACATGACCACTCCAAACAAGCTGTTCCGCATCATGCAAAACGGAACTATCCTCTACACCATGAGGTAACGGCGCTGGACTGCAAAGTTAAAACCCAGCCAAAGCCGGAATAGAGCACAGATCTGGAGAGCTATTCAACTGAATAGGCATCCAAGAATATGCACAAACATTAAAAAGAATCATAGAGTGCCAGAAAATGTGAAATGTGCCATCTGATACTCAAAACAGTCCTTGAAACCAATTCAAACAAACATGACTTCAAGCTTTGTTCCAAAAGTAAACATGCAGCATATGAATCCCAGTAGACTCAGTGACAGGATGAAAAATAGATTTCAAAGATAACCAGATTATCTGTGTGGCCCAACCTGACTTATAGAGGTTAAGATACAATTTATGAGCTTCAAATAATCCATTCAATAAACCATGAGAAATGCTTCAAAAACATATCAACACAGATTACATCGATGGCAAGTGTGGTATAGCTAATTAAAAGAGAAATACAAGAAATCCATCTTTTAAGTGACTCAGGAAAAAATAGTTCCTATTTAGTGTTTAAGATGTATATAAAATATTATCTTGGTAGATAATTTTTCTGGAAACAAACTGATATATATACACATGTCATGAAAATGTTATATGTCAGAAAGTGCATTAACAATAGTTATAGTACGACAGTTCATTTCCTCTTAGTTTCAGCAAAGCACAAGTATTTCTTAAGTGGATACAGTTTTGAAAGACTTTGCTTTTAGTCATATAATTTACCAATAACTTTTGCATTTTAAAATAATTTGGTATCAGTTGTTTTTTATATCTTTGTGCTTAAGATATTTCCTCAAAGTTTTGACCTACTTAGAAGCATCACATGCTGGTCTCTGCTGTGTGCCAGGTAAACTGAAACAATTTTATTTTTTAAAAATTAAACACATTAGAAACTTTGTGTTATATATATTTCCTCCCATTATAAGAGGAATATAAGTGAAATTTAAAGCTGTCTCCCTCTGTTTATGTGTAAATTAAACTTGTTAAAGGTTTTATTATCAGGAGAAGAAATGTTGCCTGAAATCCAGGCATATTATTATTACATTAAATTGTTTTAAATTATTTTAGGCATCACATACATAGAACTAAAGAAATGGCAAAATGCTCAGTTTTTTCTGTATGCAGCCAAAGTACATTAATTTTTGTAGTGATTGTGGTTGAAAACATTTTGCTGTGTGAAAAATAAGAACATTTTGGTATTTCTCTGTATTCCATCAAGATTTCTCATCAAACAAGCTTGTGCATGAAAGTTGGCACAGTAAGACATGTAAAATGTTTTTCTACTGTATTTTCAACTTTCTTCAGTTTATTTTTTAAATGCTAATTATGACAGGTCAGCTGCAGTGCTGGTTTTTGAAGGGCTGGCAGAAAGAAAGCTTTGGCATAAACACTGAACTCATCAGATTGTGTTTCTGTTGATGTAAAATAGAAATATTAATCTGCTGTTTAAAGAGGAGCAGCATTTAGCTCATGAGATAAGAAAGTGCATAAGATTGAAAAGATATATTCTAACAGTATTCATAAGAAAACTAATAATGAATTTGTTGTTGTTTTCACAACTAAAACTAATGAAATGGTAAGATCAGCCTTGTTGGATGTAACTAGGGCACATGACAATATTTTTCCTACAGTGGTAAAATAATGTTCCTATTTGTCATTGTGACCCACAGGCCTGCTACACCATTAAAGTTATTAAGACTTTATCAATACTAACAATTGAAAATAAGACCCTGTTATCAATACTCCTCTCATAAATGGGGCTTTGTTAGACAACCTTTGTTAGTGACCATCTATTTTATCATTTTGGTTTATTAAATGTATTTATTATGCAATGTAATTGAGGGACACAGGTATTTTTCTTTATTTATTCCCACATCTTGAATACCTGTATGCTTTGTTTCAGTGTCCTAACTAATGTACACAACTGCACCATGTTGCAAAATCCAGATGAAAGCAGCAGCCATTATCCAGTGTTGGTTTAATTGAAAAATTGATTTCAGATTTTCTTCTTTTAACAGATTAACTATAAATGCAGAGTGCCCAATGCGCCTCATGAACTTCCCAATGGATGGCCATGCCTGCCCACTCAAATTCGGGAGCTGTGAGTTTTGTTTTTTGTTAAGTCTCAGTGCTTTGACAGATGGTGTCACTCTCAAATGATCACACTGTCACATTGTAACTGACCATTTGACAAGATGTCTTCTGGCTGCAGTTTGAAATATCAAATGTTGGAGCTCAAATATGTTTCTCCTTCCTGTGAGTTTGCAGTGTGTGGCAAAAGTATGCATGTCCTCTGAGCTTTTCATATTGTATCTCTACAAACTTTAATATAATTTTGAGATATTTTATGGAATAGAACAGCAAATAGTTTGAATTTCTAAAATGCAAAAAGAAATATGCAGTGATTCTTTGTCTAATTTTTTATTAACAAAAATCTAAAAGTACTGGATACATATTTATATAATATGAACAACTTTTTCTGTGTTTAGAAAAAGAAAAAGTTTTCAGTCATTAGTCTCTGTGTTTGTTGATATTTTTATCTTTTGCTCTGTTTGTTCATAAATGTTTACCTGCAAGGAGACGTGAAACCACCTGGTTGTACTGAATTTTATTTAAGGTCATCACAGTAAAGAGAACTGAATACTGTTTTTGCAATTTTCAGATTTTTGTTTGCAAAACTTTGAAACTTTGAACCAAATTTTCCTCCCGATTTAGTAAGGTACTTCTTTGTTTTGTCACATAATACTTAGAAAATTAGATTTTGCAAAGCAATGTACATGTATTTTTAAGTTTCATTAGGGGTATTTATAGTGAAAGGTTCTATATCCGCTCATCTTTTTTTAATCATTAACATGTATTCTTAGATGTTTTAAATGAACAGTTTGAATATTTTTCTTTGAGAACCAAATTTGAACAAAGGTTTCTCATATCTTCTCCATAGATGCATACCCCATCAGTGAGATTGTGTACACATGGAAGAAAGGACCTTTATCTTCTGTTGAAGTCCCACAGGAATCATCCAGCTTGTTGCAGTATGACCTCATTGGCCAGACTGTATCAAGCGAGAGGCTGAAGTCCAACACAGGTCATCAAATTTGTCTTCTAAACTCATTCAGTAATTACACTAATTAGATCTGAAAGCTTTTTGTTCATATTTGGCATAACCCATGCTTAACTGATCTTTTTTTACAATGTGTAACAAGAGCCTTTCTAAATGTGATATTAGTGGTGTTTCCAAAAGCAGTTGTGAATTTGGAACTGAGCAGTGAAAATAATCACATATATCCAGCATTTTGAGGTTATGGGAAAGTGTGATAACAGCTCTACATTTTCATGTTGGAATTAAGATTTAGTTAAGAAACGTTGCACAAAAAAACTTGTAAAATTAGCTGTTTGTATGATTTGGATTCTATGTTTAACTCTTGCAGGTGAATATGTCATAATGACTGTCCACTTCCATCTTCAAAGGAAAATGGGTTTCTTCCTGATTCAGACCTACATTCCCTGCATAATGACTGTCATTCTGGCGCAAGTTTCCTTCTGGATTAACAAGGAATCAGTTCCAGCTCGGACCGTCTTTGGTAATTTGCCTTTGAATCTGTTTTGCTTTTCTTGTATAATTTGCAAAATTACTTTTTAAGCTTCATTTCAAATTAAAAATAGACATGGCTTTACACCAAACTGTAATATATGAAGGATCATGCATGCTTTGTCTCTCCAAATGAAAAAATACAACACCCATAATGTTTGCCAAAAATTGCAGCCAACTGGTCTTTCAAACAATTGAGGCTGTTTTCATTGTTAGATCACTAAAGACAGACAAGATGCCCAGATTCTCATGCGCTTGTAGGTTGTAAGATATTCATCATAAAATATTTGCGTCAAAAATCAGTTTGCTTTCATTCAAACATCTCCCATCGTAACTGGTGGAGTTGGAAAAGAACTGCAAAGCAGAATGGATAAAACTGCCTAAATGTGTGCTGAGCTTGTGGCTTCAGATTCAAACAGACTTGAGGCTGTTGATCCAAAGGTGGATCAGCAAAGTATTAAAGAAAAGCTGTGAATATTTACATCGATTTGATTTCTTGTTTTTGTAGTCATTAATAATTTTACAAAGCACTCAGAAATCTTTTTTTTTACATTGCCATAGTGGAGTTATATGTTAGAATTTTGTAGAGAGAAATTAATTGAATACAACTTGGAATAAGGCTCTAAAATAACAAAAAGTGGATGAAGTGAAATAATGCAAATACCTTCCAATGTAAATTATGTCAATGCAAAAAGCACTATTTGCTGGGTGAAGATGAGTGAAACAGCCTCTTTTCAGAATGAGAAACATGCACAAATTCAATTTTGCAAACATTTAAAACCAAACAAACCAATATTTCTAAAAACACTTTAATTAGCGTGGCATTAACATGGTTTTACAAATTCCCCAAATCTTTATTAGTTATAGTGGAATGCACATTTGGTTAGCTACGATGACAAATGAAAACATATAAACACTTTGTTATTGAAACATGTAATTTTAAAGCCATAGCATTTTAAGACAGAATACATATTTCCGTCTTTGACTTTGTGATTCAAAATACTCCTTGAGATTTCTTTCTAGGACTTTTTCCACCAAGAGAAACATCATTATATTCTGTTCACTCTGATTCTAAATTCTGAAGTTTAATTTCTCAGTTCTACCTCTACTGCGGTGCAGCTTAATTAACTGGGAGTAAATATCCGTTTTGGAACTGGTCATGCCAGGACTGAGAGGGGAAGGATGTTTACTTGGCTCTCTTCCGAGCACTCACAGGTTCCACTTTCTCGCATTACATTACGCTACAGTTGCCACTGAGCTCCAGCCCCGGGAGCTGAGAGGGTGAGAGACACTAAACAAAGACAGAGATAAACTGAGAGGAATAACAGGCATGAAAAGAGACAATGAAGAATAGAAAATGTGTGAAAGTACATGGGAAGAGCTATCATTTACAAATGCATTTCCACTTCTGGGAAATTCAACAAGCAGCAGCTGAGTAGAATTACTCTGCTACCTCTTGCAGCTCACAGCTTTACCCTCTTCTTCCGAAGTGAGCCAATGCTCCAACAAGCCTGCACTTTGCTTTAGAGAATAGAGCCAAGTCATTAGAGTCAGTAAGGGAGTTCAGACCCCATGTAGAAATGCAATCTGTGGCAAGTCATTGATGTCATTCTTCCTGCAGTTTTCTGGTCTCCTGCTGTTGGATATGAGATAAATTGTTTATTCTCTAGATGAGTCCTCAGTAAACTTAGAAAACGTGCAACTGGATTTATAACAAACTGGATGAAACTGTTAAAAACACATGGAATACACTGTTATTGCTTTCTGTGTGGTGAAGAACTCTTTGGACAATTCAGAACCAGTCTTGGTTAAAATTTTGCAGCTTTAATAGAAAGTTATATTCTGCTTCCATTTCTGTTTCCCAGGTATGTTTACTGTCGGTGAACAGATCTTTAAATAGAGAACTTTGCTGTTTTGGCCCATGTCTTACTTTACCATGACATACTGGATCAGCACCCACTTTACTCCATGAAGGACATCCAAATTCATTAATGTATCTCTTGCTCATCTCTTGTGAAGAACCCATCCAGATACAGCACTTAAACTTCTCCATTTGAGGCAAAGAATGAACTGGAGGGAGTAAATGCACCTTTTTTGAAAACTATGGCTCCAGATTCAGAGGAGCTGACTCATACAAATGGCTGGGAAATGCCTCAGGACATGATAAAAATGCCACATCATCTGCAAAAGGTAATTATGAAACCCCTAGGTTCCTAAATCAGACATTCCCCTCTTCATGACTACGTCTTGAAATCCTCCCCATGAACCACACAAGTAGAATCTGCGAAAAGTTGCAACACTGGCTGAGTCCAACTGGCAGTGGTGTGAAAGTAGACACAGCTTTTGATTTGGGTGTATGGGTTGGCCTTTGAAAGTATCACTGCACAGCACTTCAAGGAACATGGTCATAAACTCTCTAGATCCAGAAACCCCATGTTGACCGGACTGAGAAATCCCCACGGTCTTCCAGGAATACTGCAATAGGAAAGATGTCCAATGTTTCCATTGTCCGGACAAAGGCCACATCCTAGATCATGGGCTCAAGCTTCTGTCTTCAAGGATCACTGTCCTGCAGTCTTTAGATGTCTCTCTGCTTTATCACACCTGACTCCTATATCAGCTCATTAGCAGAACCCTGTAGAGTTTGACTGCAAGCGAGTGAGACAGTTTTGCCATCTAAGTCAAAAGTATAGGACAAGGGACACATCTAAAAGCTGCAGGACTCTGGCACACCACTGGCTGACTGCCAAAGGAGGAATGCAGCTTGTGGTCACTTCTCCAGACCAAACATATAGTCCCTTAATAGTTGATATACTCTCTCTAGTTCCCATTGGTATACCAATGAAACAAAACAAAAATAGAAACAACTATATCTTTTTACACACATCATATTTGAAAGCATTTTGTGTCCTTCATTTCCTTTATTTAACAAGCCAGAGGTTACAAAAAGGGAGTACATTGACAAGGCTGGTCCTCTAACTCGGGCTGTCGAGGGCATGAGGGTTGAGGAACTTCAAAGTCTTGGCCAACCAATTATTTTTTTTCTTTTCTGTAGTTTATTTATAAATAGATTTTTTCAGTATCTGGATATCCAAACGTTAAGCTTCCCATCTTAAAAATTTGTGATGATCCATTGCTTTTGTGCTTGGAATTTGTAAAGAAAGTAATTTCTATGGCACTTTTGTTAATATTTATGATGGCCCATTGAAGAGAGATAAAAGAAGGGAAGGGAGTAGAGCAGAGGCCTGCTTGTCAACAACCTCTGCAAGCGCTGAGAGTCCCCTGAGCCCAGGTTTTACAGACTTAATTGAGTATGGCCTAAATTGTACCTTACTTTTTTTGCTGTAAAAGCACATAAATGCCCCAAGCGTTTAATTTGTATCCTGTCTCTCCACTTCTTCCCCCTCCCACACTTTTTCGTTCCCATTCTGTTGCCTCTCCCACCCACCCTGACAGCCTTTCTTCCCATGTCCCCCCTTCATTGTGAGAGAGACAGTCACCACTGGTTGACTGCCAAAGGAGGCTGTATTTGAGAGTTGTTAGCCTTTACTGTTTAAGCTTAGAGAGAATGCTTTTAAAACATTATGAGGTGCATTAAACCCCCTACACGAATCCCAAAGCGGCTAATGAAATGTGCGCAACTAAAGCACACATTTGGTAAAATGCAAGCAGGAATGTTCAATAGTCCTTTTTCTCTTGCTTGCTTTAGCTTGATGAAAGTGAATCAGACATGTATTTTGTTAATGGACCCTCAAAATAGTTCTTTAATATTAACACTTTTAACATAATAACGTTAATGGACTGGGGAACGTTGCTCCCCAATGATTGAAATACAATACAATATATATGCATTTTCACTTCACAGTGCACAGTTTTTGGTTTTGCAAGGTATTTTCAATGCTTTTAAATGTAAGTTTCTAAGTTTTCAGACAATAGACAAAGAATATAACTTGTCTTGTGGGTATGAACCAGCAGCCAATGTTAAGACGTTGACCTCTCTGCTGCTTCTCCGTTCTGCCACACAATGAACTCCACAGTAAACACTCACCCATGACAGTCAGAGATAGTGTTTACACTGGCTTCACATGGTGGCACATTGTGCCATCTGTCAAAATTAGAATCAATTCTATTTTTACCAGACACCAAAGCAATGTGAGTCAATCTTCAAAGATCACATAACACCAAAAGAAAAACAAACCACAATATTTATATTTTCAAAATAGTTCATTAAGACAGACTTTATTCTCAAAATTTTATCTATCTTAATAAAAATATGGGAATGCATTTTTCATATTTTGCACCTTTGTGGTTCCCAGAATAGCACAGCCACATGTAGTTTATATCAGGCTGGTCAGGTATGTTGTAGCAGTTGTAAAACTACACACTAAACAAATGTACATATAAAAACTTTAAATTTTTTCTGTGGTTTGATGTTATTTTAATGGGACAGTGCTGATAAAAGGCAATGCAATTTTTCGAACTGCTTCGAGCATTGTCCAACTTATTTCCAATTCTCAAAGCTCAAACTATGTGATGTAGTTCACAAACTTGTGGAAATAGAAAGACTGGCATTCCCCAAGTCAAATTGATGATTGTAGATACAACATCTTAATGTGAAGAGGCTGGAAATTTGATACTGTAATTTAATAGACATTTGCAGTCAAGTTTTCTCACTCTTACATCATTTATCCTGTGTGAAGGATAAATGATGTAAGATTTTCGTTAAATGTTAGTTTTCTTCTTCAAAGTGTAACATATTTTCTACTTATTCACTTATTTCTACTTATTCACTTATTCATTTTATAAAAAGCAAAACAGATTATTTAATTTTAATATTTTGGAGTATAACACAGTGATTAAAAGTGACATCCATGTACAAAGACTGAGGAAATTACAGGAATTGGATTATCATTTCTTGCATTCCATCAAAATTCCTTGGAGTTCATTTGCGTTCGTTGATGCACTGTGTCGGTTTGGCATGTTAATTTAAGCGATGACCAAGCTGCCTGTCCACCACAAAAATATGTCACTAGCTGAGCTTGGAAATTTGAGATCCTTAAAGGGACAGCTGTTGGACTTTACAAAACAAAATGGCCACACTGAGAAAAATAGTACTCAATGCATTTTAATATTTTTCATCATTATTGGCTGACTTAAAACAACTTGATTTTGGAACATGACATAAATATATAATTTTATGATAAACCACTTCATCCAGATTAGAGCTGCTGCTACATTTAATTCAAAGACTTAGCTGTTGTTGTCCAGTCATCCAAATGGACCTCTCTCTTTACAGAGTTTTTTTGGGACTTACTATTGATGAGAGGCTCTGGAGCAAAATCAGAAAAGGCTGAAATATGCAAGAATATTTGTGGGCAAGAGTGTGACAAGAGCAGCAAGGGGGAGGCGTGTCTGGATTTCCCCAACAACCACATCTTGAAGAAGTAGAGGACAACAAATGTACCAATAAAAAGATTTAATGTTTAATTGAAAATACCGGTAAACTGAGATTACATGGTCAACAGCCTTTCATGTCATGTGAGGTATGAATATGAAACCTTGAGCAGATCCGTGTTCTGAACTTCTTCTCATCTGTGTGTTCAGGTATCACCACTGTCCTCACCATGACAACATTAAGCATCAGTGCACGGCACTCCCTCCCAAAAGTTTCATATGCCACCGCAATGGATTGGTTCATTGCCGTGTGCTTTGCCTTCGTCTTCTCTGCCCTCATTGAGTTTGCGGCCGTCAACTACTTTTCAACACTCCAAGCCAACCGAGAGCTGCGAAAGGCAGCAGCCATGAAGGCAGCTGCTCAGGAAGCAGCAGCAGCTGCAGCAGTGGTTCCAGCAGCAAGTACAGCGACAGAGGGAGACGCTGCGTCAGTAAGTTAATGGTTTCCCACTGGTATTTACATGTGTCAGCATGTGCAATGACATGTAATGCTTAAACTGTACCAGATAAGGATGGATCACATGGCCTTGTGTTGATAACTAGAAAATACTTATTTGTGGTTATTGAAAACATAGGCAATTTTATGTGCATTTTCACTTCATATGGGAATATGAGTCCTTATAACATATGGGAATGTATGAACATTCATCTAAACAGTAGAGTTGCTGTTATAAATGATGATCAGAGCAGATGGTTCTTTGTGAAAAATAGGACTTTCCATGGCCTAATTACATGCCTGTACCTGTCGTCATTAATCTCCACTTTTTTTTTTCTTCTTGTAAATGAGAAGGGAGTTCCTAAAAATTTGGATGGCTTGTGTTTGTACTTTCTGCACATGATGAAAGACTTCAGTTTTGAAGCTTTGGCTATGTTAGTCAACCGCCAAAAACAAGAGTTTAACTGTAATATTTCAACACAAACTAACGATCACATGAAAAACAGCTGGAAAAAAGGATGAATAAATAGAAATAAATTATGTTTTCATCTAAAACATGCAACTGACAAAGTGGAAGTGTTAAAACCCTTAAAAACAATCCTTTACTGGAGTGGCTTCCTTTGTAAAAGAATAATTACACAGTACATTTAATATGTCAGGAATAATAGTTATATGTTAAGAAACCACTGTTTTTCATAAAATCACTGTTGCCATTCAGTGATTCTCCTGCTGGTAATTCTTTGTAAAAAGCCCTTTTCCCACAGAGACTGTATTTTATGTCTCCTCTTAATATTTTGCATGATTGGATCACTATTAAAGTGGAAGCTTTTGTCCTTGCACAATAATCCTAAAGTTCATCCAGAATCCTGGATGATGCCAATACATTTTTTAGAGCCTCTAAAAGATGCATTTTTCAGATGTGTCCCTGCAAACCAGCTACAATTCTGAACAATAATAATAAAAAAAAACTCTTTATGTTTTTTGGCCAAAAAGACTAAATTGAAGCATAAATGAACTCAAGGTTCCTATGACTTTTGAATGAAGAACGTCTCCATGGCATCCAGATCATCTCCCAGTGGTGATATTCTTCACATATTCCTCCTTGCATTGCTTGATGTTAGACCCATAATCATTTACAGAGAAAAATGGCTGTAAATATTAATTATGATAAACTTTACAAGCACCCAGTTACTGTTAAAGAATTGTTGAGCAAACGGCATGTTCACCCTTTCACCTGGGGTGTAAATATGTGTGCTGGACACTTATTCTGGATATACTATTTTAAAATACACAACAATATTTTTGATATGTAAACACGACATTAGTTCATCAGTTGAGTTAGGGACATATTCATGCCAGGAGGATTCTTTTGTCAGAACTAAATTGCTCAAAATTGAAAAAGAAAACATTTTATTGCAAAGTGTCGTGTCCAAGAAGTGAATATTGAAATAAAAACAAATAGTTCTGAATGGGCAGTAAAATAACTTACGAGTGTTTAAAAATATCTGAAGACTTAAAAAATACTTTAAGATCACTAAAAAATTATTTAAAAACGTTGTTGTTTGCCTGAGAAGTGATTTGAGAATTCTGCATTAACTTAGTCATTTTTTTGTTGGTTCATTTCATCATTGGTTCATTTCAACATGCTTGCTTTCGTTGCCTTGGGATGTTTCTCTTCGTCTTAATGCAAAAACAGTTTAAGCTCTGTCATTTTCTAACTTCTGCTTGTTTTGCTGAAACCACTTTTTTGATGTGATGGAATAAAACAGTATAACGTATAGCACTGATGAGTATGTGTCAATTCCAAATAAGTAACTTTCACCTTTCTTATTCTTATTCATTAGTTCTCATGGTAAAAAGCATAAAAATCTGTGCCAAAATCTTAACTGGTTTAATTTTACAGATATGCTGTACCTCTTGGTAAATACAGATCTGTTGCCAGGTTTTTCTTCCCTTTTTGAGTCGAGTTTTCTTCCTCTTGCCAAATCATCATACATTGTTAACAGCTTTCACTGGACTTGCAGTTGCCATCTGTGGTTATACAACATCAACAGGGGTTACGGAACTGGGCTCAAATGGGTGTAGGGATTTTATCTTCAGTGTATTTTTTGAGAAATAGCTTCATTCAACCTCTAAGAGATTCTGTTTTTTGTGTAGAGACTATTGAGCTTTGCCTGTGCTTGCTTCTCCCCTTTATATACTTCTAAAGCATTGTTGTGGATGTTTTGATGGATGAGATTGGTTTGTTCCTTTAAAGGCCAACTAGCTGTCAGCATTTTGTGGTAAATGGTCAGCTCTTACAGTGTGTCTACCCCACTTAGTCATCTGGCAGTCAGTGGTTAAATGGAAACTGTTTGAAGAGTTTTGTGTGTGGTTTATGTTGTTGGGTGTTCCTGGTTTACATGGATACTCTCACTTCAACCAGGTAATAACATCTTGCATCCAGATTGTCATGAAAAAATATTGTAATAGTGATGAGGTTAAAATCCTTTACCTGTTAGTGTGTGCATGTTTTGCATCTATAAGAGAGCACTCTTACACCAGCTTACTTGTCTAATTATTGAAAAGTCCAATAATTTCAATAATTAGACATACTATATACCACATTGTTCTCACAAGAGAGCAGTGTGATATATAGGACAGCAAATTCATTTCTGATGTTCATGCAGCAGTACAGATTTGAAGGGCATTTAGTCACAGTGTCTTTCCTCTCGTCATGATTGCTGGTGGCAGTCAATCTATGATTGAATGGGGATATTTGTAGCTGACATTTAAATACAGTTACAAATAGTCACGTGTTTAAAAGAAAAGCTGGAGACATTAGCTGTTCCATAGATAATTTATCAGATTTTGTCCTCTTTTTTTTCAGTTTTTGTAGATGATTCATTTTTTTCAGTTCTAAATATATATAGTTTACACATTGTATGCAAATTACACAATATATATAAGACACCATTGCATATTGGTATATTTATTTGTTACAGACTACATTTTGTGAGTTTTTGAAAACTGAACACAAGGAACATCAATGGACAGAAAGTGTTAAGTCTTAGGTTATATTCATATTCATTTTTATATAATTTTTTCTATAAGATAATTTCAACTTAAATTTACTTCAGTCCAGGCTGGATGGATTGGATTTGACTGAAAAACAACTCAGTTATAGGCAATAGTCACATATTTCACATATTTATTACAGCTGCCATGTAACGTCATGAAACATATTGTACATTGTAATTTATTCTCTAGATTGATATCTAGGATATATGTAAATGTGAAGTATGAAAATGTTTGAAAACAATCTGTAGCAATCACTTGTGGAATAAATGTATTGTAGACCAGATATGATTCAGAAGCAAAGATAACTCTAAGTTTATGTTCCTCGTGGTTCATTTCTAGTCTACATTTTGGTCTAGTATACTCCATGCAATCAGTCTTCTATTTGCAGTCATTTGGTCTGTTTTAAAATGTGCATGCAGAACATGCACACTAGCATTTCTTCTTCATTGTATTTTAATGAAGCTCACAAGTGTAGTAGAGAATCTATTTCAGTTTTTTTATGACTGTTTTTAAGTCCTTTGTCACATTTAACGTTGTGCACACATGCAGGTTTTTATCATTGCATTACATTCTCTCCAACTTTAACTAAAGACACCAGTTTTTCGCTCTGTATGTCTGAAAGATTTTCAAACTGATATGCATTAATTTATGCAATTTACAGTAAACTATGCATGCTCCATCACTTCATTTGTTCAACACCGTCTCTCTCTCGCTCTCTCCCAGTCTCCTATTTGTCTCTGTAACTATGTGATAACCACAGAGAGTGACATGAGTGGACAGCCAGTGGCTCAGCAAATGATGCTGTTGCAGATTATGTAAGAGCTGTAGATTAAGGAAAATCCAGCAGATCACTGCACGCTCAGAGGAAAAAGGGCAGACACCGCGATAAAGATGGGTGGGGGCTTGGAAAGCAAGCCCAGTCCGTTTTTATGAAACAAGATGGAGAGATGGGTTAGAGTGGGTTCTGGGTATGTGTTGGTGTGTGCATTTGTGTTGTAGTTACACTAGAAGAATAGGAAAAAACGAGAGTAGGAGGAATGCATCATAGAAAATGACTGCTTTCACCAAATATGTAGGAGGGAAGACTCTTCATGACACGGAGAAGGAAAAAAAAATCCCCAGGAATAGAAAAAGTCATGAGGTAAAATACCTGGTGTGACTGTGAAGTTTTTCAAATAAACTTTTTGTCCCAACCTCCCAATATTTTGTGACAGGTAAAACTGTGGAAAAGAAAAGTTTTGTAAGTTCTACTTCCAACATATACCACATTTTCAGGAATTCTCTGCTTATTTTAGGATCTCCATCTAATATCTGAGAGCCAAAAATGTTTTAATATCATGCCGTTTTTAATACATACACACATGGTGAGTGTTGTAGTACTCGACACCAGTCTTGTTTTTGGGCTTGGTCAAGAATGTAAACTAAAGCAAGAACAACTACTGAGCCAAAAAGATCTTAAAGATCATCTTTTATTGAATAATCTGTGCTACTATTTCATGGGCATAGTTGTTTCAAAATAATTATTACATAGATGTAATACTACACACACACATATATACATGTATATTTACTTAACCTCACATACTGCACTGTGTAGAGGGCCACCATCAATCACATCTAAAAGGTTCTTAGAAAAATCAGCTTATAATTATGATTATTCATTTTTATTTTGTTAAATATTAGAAAAAGGTATCACTTCTTTTGTTTAGTTGTAAGAGTTATATCAGGTTTTTTAAATTAACTGCTTACAAATAGTATTTCTAATACTCACTCTGGTGAGTAGTTTCTGAACTAGAAGAGAAAAAAAATATTTTGACAAATCCAGCAAAAATTTCGCAAGTTCACTTCAGCTCCAAAACTGATGGAATTTAAATAACTTTTTTTTTTGCAGAATTTGAGTATAGTGAGAAACTGAGTTGAATTTGTTACATAATTTAAAAACATCATTTCTCTCTGCGCCCCCAGAACTGCTTATTATGCATCATCATCTTAATAATTTAGAGGATTGTTTGATTTATTGAAATCGCCCTGGAACATCATGATGTGACGTTTCTGTGCTTCACACAGAATTGTTTTTTTTTAGACTGTTAATTTGCAGCAAGAATCTTTGCATACCCTGTCCTAGTTCCTAGATGTATTTTCTGTACTCGTATTGCACCTGATTTACCACAAATATTGGCAGAGTGTGCATTGTGATCATAATTAGTTGAAATTTCATAAACCACAGGATAACCATGCATCGATGTGCTGAGTGTCTTTTTCTTTAAAATCATTTTGTTCCCACAAAAATAAACAAAGACTGTGGGTGTGTTTCTATGATTTTTAAATAATATTTGTAGATTCTGTAGTTTTACAATCCTATTTAATTTACAATACACTCCTGTTGGCTTTAGATCATAACTACTACTAAATTATCTTTCAAGTTAAAGTTATAAAAGTGTTTTTTTTTCTACAGTATAAACAGTGTAAGCACATAAAAGCATGTGTAATGTCTGCAATCATTTTTGTTGAGTTGTTTGAGTGAAAGATCATTCCTGTTAGAAAGAGAGCGTATAAATAAAGATGAATTGATTTATTAACAGTGAATATTCAAGTAAAACAGGATAATAATTTAACTTTCAAATATCATAACAATGCATTTTTGTTGTAATTTTATTTTTTACATTTTCTGTTTTTGTTTACTTTTCCTCTTAAAGGTGGATGCCAATAGTGTATTGAAGAAGAGGATGAACTCTGCTCCAGTTTTCGATCGCCCTGCAAAAACTTTTCCAAACCCTCCTGTCAATGCCCAAGCTTTCCTCCAGCAAGGCTCCGCGGTTCCAGCCAACAACGTTCTGACAGGCACCAGCATCATTGACAAATACTCACGCATCCTTTTCCCTCTTTCGTTTGGCGCCTTTAACCTGGTCTACTGGATTGTTTATCTCACCAAGGACACCATGGAGATGTCAAGGTAAATCGATGGCATGGCTGTCACAAATAACTTTGTTTTGCTTGGAGCACAGGATGAAAATTATTTTCCCAGAAAATGAGTGACGATGGAATTATTTTGGTATAATTTCTGTATTAGTTTTATTGGATTGTTCTTATCAAGTTCTTAGTATGGCTCCAGTACTTAGGAGGTTATGAATATGCTTTAATTATTACATTTTGTTATATTTCAACCACTAAGTTCAATACAATTTACAGGGATTTTAAACAATAAAACAATATCAAAGTACTCTAAACATATCAAGTGGAAAGAAAATAATGCATCTATTTCACTTTGTTTTTTACAAGACAAAAAAACACCATCTTTTACTTTTGGGTTTTGACTTGTTCTGCTATTTCTGCCTCTTCTTTTTCAAATTAACTGAGATTTTATTGAGGGCATCTATGAACATCAGTTTTCAAGTTTTGCTACAGATTCCTAATTAAATTTACTTTGGACTTTGACAGGATAATTCTAACAAATAACATAAATATGTTTTGACCCAACCATTCCTAACCTGTGGATAAATGGTTAGAGTTTAGTCCTGCTGGAAGGTAAACTTCTGCCCCAGTCTTAATTCTTTTGTAGTTCCTAACACATTTATTCTAGGTTTAATGTGGTAACCTCCATCAATTTCCTTGTCGACTGAGATGAGCTTCACCCTCCCTGCTGAAGACACCATCATGCTGTCACCACCATGTGTTAATGAAGGGGTCGACGTTTAGAGTGATGCAATGTGTTCACCATGAGGGCCAAAATGTTATATTTTAGTCTCCTTTTACCACCTTCTTTCACATGTCCATTCTGTCTTTTACAGGATTCCTGGAAAACCTTAAAGAGTTAAAGATTCCCAGTCTCTTTGTGTTTCTCTTTTGCTTATTTTTTTTTTAATTAAACTTTTCATTCCACCATTCATCATCCGTCTACAAATGTCCTGCTGACCAAATCATTAACAAGGCGTATTTGGACAATTGCATCATGAAGACTTTCTTTTCTTTTGATGACAAAACCAAGTTCTTGTAAAATAAATGTTTATTTCAGTCATTTGCTTTTAATTATATTGCATTGCATCAGTTAACAAGTAATTTATGTATCTGTTAGCTAAAGAAAATGTTATAATTTGAAATGAATACAAGCAGTCAGACAATGTAAAATGTTTTAATTAGAGGGAACATGCAGCCAAGTCAATTATGGGAGGAACCCAGGATGCCTCAGTGGTTGAGGTAATGGGAATAGAAGAAGAAACAATAAAGCACATTAGAAATATCCTTTATTGCCCCACAATGGGCAAATTTATGTGCAACAGCAGCAAGGTGACAGGGAATCAAAGCAAGTATATTTTATATCAATATATAAAAAACAGAATAAAGAACAATATAAATGACAATAAAAACTGCATAGCAGCAGATATGTGCAGAAGCCAGCAGAAACGTTGTTCAGAATGAGTAAATCTGTGCAAAAGAGTGTGATGGGGAGAAGAAAGTGAGACGGAGCAACAAAACAATAAGCAGCATAATGTATCAATAATAACATTAAATGCTGGCTTTCAACTTTAAATAGAATGGATCATCAGCTTAAATCCGATTTTAATGTTCTAAGTCTCAAGCTGCAGCCCTCAAGGTGTCCTGCAGTTTTTAGATGTGCCACAGGTACAAAACACTGCCACGAAATGGCTTAATTACCTCCTTTTTGTGTAGCTAAATTCTTCAGAGTCCTGCTAATGAGCTAATTATTCTATTCAGGTGGTGCAGCAGAGGCACATCTAAAAGTTGCAGGACAGGGCCGGTGTCCACTTTGTGCTCTAAGTAGATTCTTTGAAGGACAAATTAATAGAATGAACAAATAAGTGCAAGATATGGCTAGAAACAATAGATACTTAAATATGTAGTTAAATCATTTCAAACTGAAATAAAAACACATTTTTAATACATCATAAATTGATTATATGTGACAGTAATTCATAAAAAGATCAGTTGAATTGGAAGTATGTGAGCATTTAATAAATGAATCATGAAATAATTAAAACTGTCATTGGCTTACCAACAGATCTCAACATCTGATTAGTTACCCTTCACACCAAGTCAAGACTGATTGACCCCAGATTGATACAGAGCCTCCTGACCCTTAGAGATGCAGTAATTGTTTAGGAGACCAATAAAGAGTATGTTTTTGTATGTAAAAGGGTAATTGATCTTATCAAATGCCTGAATCACCTTAGTCAATTCCTTTCAGTGATCCCTTCAAACTTCCCGGTTATGGTAGGATTCCTTATATTATTTCTCAGAGTTAGCCTCAATACCCAATGGCGGAAACTTATTTTATCTGCTTCCATCTATGATCTAATTTTTTCAGGCTTGATCCATAACTTATAACCATAGGTGGTGTGGGATTGAACAAAGGCACTCTGGTAAATCAATAGCTTCTTTTCATGGTTCAGCTCTCTTCACCACAACACACCAGAGCAGAGCCCACATTACTGCAGCTGAAGTAAACTCCGGTGCTTGAGGCACATGCTCACCACAGATATGGAGTCTTCCCTTTTTGGACTTTGAGGTGTAGAATCTCATTCGATCCCCTTCAGAGTCAGCAGCTTGAGGAGTCCAACAGAATCAGACCATGTGCAAAAAGCAAAGCTGCAACCGTGAGCCTTGAGTTTCTCAAAGCGGTCAGCCATTTCGTCATCAGTCGGCCTTGAGCTTGTGTCCATGAACAGCACAAACAAGATCAGTGATTAAAGGCAGCCTTGGTGGCTGCTAAACAGGTTATTATCCTGTTTAGCTTTAGCTAAACAGGATAATAACTCTGCTACTGTTGAACCCTTTGCTATCACAGTTTATATGATGTATTGTTACCACGGAAAATATAATGTAATCTGAGCCTCAAAATGGCCTGCTGGTGATCTAAACACATTATAAAGGTTGAGAAAAAAAAGTTCTTGTGTGTTTTTTCTCTTTGAAATGCAGGTTTTCTTGTGTATAACCAACAGATGCTGTTCCAAGCATCTGTTTCTAAATATAATGGCTTTTTATAAGTGTTTTGACGGCAACAAAAGATGGATGTTGCTATCTTACATCATCTCTAGAAATCCTTCTTGGTTTGACACTTTGACAAGATGCTGAGTGGTACACTAGTTAAAGGATGAAGTTCAGTTTATGAACTCTTCACTGCATGTGTATGTGTGTGTGCATAATTTTGTTTGATTTGCTTCAACTTCATAATATGAACAGATGTGTTTGCCTGGTTGTGCATCCTCACTCCCGACTCTGGGATGCTTCAGCTGTGTGGGTTTAAATCCTTTCATTCCCTGCTTTGCTCCTCCTCTAAAAAGGGAAAAGCCCTCAAGGCAAGAGCTGAGACAAGTCAGAGGACATGACAGTGTTGGCAGGCATCAGGATAGCTCTGTGTGGCTAACACTCTTAGGGATTCTTAAATGTTTCTAAAAATTGATAGGAATTGTAATCCTGAGAGACGTTTCAGACAGACTGGATGATTACAGTGATGACTTTTTTTATTGTGGAAATTGATTGCAGACATAAATTAGGAAACAAAATACTAGAGTATTTAACTAGAGAAGTGCTTGAACATATGAACAAAACACAAGGACATGTTGGAAAAGAATCTTGTGTCTTGTGTTTTCTGACTTAGATTCATATTTTATACATTTTTAACTCTTGGCTGCTGTATCGGTTTTGTGTCTTGTTTAGTTCTGTTGGTGTTTTTGTTCCACTGATTCCGAATTTCTCTGATTGACTTGTTCAATTGTTTTTATGTTACTATCATTCTTCCTTGGTATTTAATCTCCTGAGTTTCATTGTTCATTTTGATTCTATCAAGATGGTTCCATGTTTTGTCTTCCTCATGTCTTCTAAGTCTTCAGTTTGATTTTGTGAAGAACTGCAAAACTGCAAAGGTTTGTTAGAGACCTGAGAGACCAAAGTCCATCATGGTGGACAAGCAACACACCAGGCAGGTCAAGGATGAAGTTGTGAAGTTTTAAGGAGGGTTACGCTGTAGGGAGTATCCATAGATTTCAGTATCTTCTAGAGAATTGTTCAATTCAAAATCTGAATAAGAATAAACTCTGGCAGAAAAGCCAAGACATGGCTGAAAATCATATCTGATAACTCCAGGGACAGTTTCAGTCTTCAAAAGCATTTACACATTTTGAGTAAACAGAACTTTCTCAAGCTATTTATGTTTAGCCTTTGTAATAGCATGCACTCCCATCAAAGATATAGATGACTGGGTACAGAAAAAAGATTTTCTCTTTGTGTGTGTGCAGGTTGGTTTCTGTGAGTATTTCTGAGGATGATACAGGCACAGAAGTGTATAAATGTGCTATAGCAGCAGTGTCTACCGACTGTGGGCTATTTTAATGAATAGCACCATTCAGGGCGAGACATGAAGGAAACAAATTGGCTGAAAACGCTTCCTTCCATGAGGGGCCCCAGCTGGTTGGCTGACTGTTTGCTAGCTGCCTGGCAGGCTGGCTGGAGTGTGCTAACAGCGGACGATAAGCCTTACTCTTCTTTATTGGCCTTCATAGTGCTAGGCTTGAAAAACAACTTCCCCATTGTTGCTCATAAATCAAAATCCCTAAATGCTGCAACTCAATTCCTATTTTTACTGCAGGGCCGTTGCCATAACTTTGGTGTTTTAATCACTCGATTACAGGCCACTCAGACGGAGGGCAAAGAAGAATGATAGAAGTAGTGACCCTCTATCCATATTCTTCCTCTTTTGGGCCTTGTGGGAATTGTTACAACTTCTTTCACCTAGTTTGTCTTGCATGCAAACATTGTTCTCTCACCTGTTTTCTGTGAGTCCATCATGCCAGAGACATTTTTCTAAGGCACAGTATTTCTATCTTCCTTTGATCACTTAAAAATGCTGTCTGTTTCAGAAACTCTTTGCACTAAATTTCTGTCTATATATCTTACTTAATATAAGTTTTGCTCTTCCAAACACTATTTCTACCTGTTACTCCCCCACCTTCACACCTCTCTTTTCTATCACAAAGCACTGTCTGTGCCCTGCCTCCCTTTTTGATGAAACAAGACAGCCTAAGAAGCCTAAGCAGAGTGTGTCTGCCCTCCACCCCCCATCACCCAATATCCTCTATTCACCATCCAGCCCCTCTAAAGCAAATACAAACTTCATTTATGTGGGACTGTATGTTTATTTGTGAGTTATTTTTACCAGTTGTATCAAACAATTTACTGACTAAACACAACTGACATGTCAGGACAGCAAAATCAAGTGATAAATGTTGTCAATGCTGTACATTGCTAACACAAAATGTAATACCTTTCAGACTCAAGAACAGAGCTATATGAAAAAATATTTCACAAGTGCAGAAACAATTTCCTTTTTTTTAAAAAAAAAAAATCATATTTCACAGAATAAAAGACATGTTGGGTGTCTATATGAGACATGAAGCAAAGAAGAACACAAATATTTAACTTTGAATCTGACAAAACCCAATCTATAACTCACAGAATTGCTGAGACACAAAATGATAAATGTTTGGTCCTCTTCATAAATGTTTAGTTTGGAGATACAAGCGTAATGTTTCAAAAGCAACAGAATACGACTAAATGTTTTCCACTATGGTGCATCATCTTATTTTTTTTTTAAAAAAGATGATGACATGCTGTCCAAAAATAATGCAAAAGTTTTCCTTTTTACATTTGACTCAACATTTCTTTTACTGTCAGCATGCTCTTTTCTATGCAAACGGCTGTTCAGTGGGTGAAACATGGATGATTTAGACTATTTTAATCCCTTCTTTTACAACAAGGTTAAACTTTGTACGTACAAAACATCTTTTTAAAAGATTCTATGTAGATTTGTTTGGGTATGCATAATATGTCTATGTTTGGGGATCTGTATGAGTTTTGTATACAAGTGTATGGATGGGTGTAATTATTTCTGTCATTTAATTTCAGGATTGTTGCAAGATATTTTCTTGCTAGATGGAAATCTAAAATTTACATTTTATGTATAATTTTACAAACCAAATTTTAAAAAATCTATGTGCAGTGCAGCTCTTCTTCCTTACAAACTGTTAATGTAAAGAAGCATCAATTTCATATTTTTTCCCTCGCTTCTTTAATTTTTTAACATAATGTAACGTCCTTAGAATCCACTCAGTGAGTTTTTAAAGTAAACACTTAAGAAGTCAGAGCAGGCTTTGTTTTCTTTCCTTTGTTCTAAGCAACAAACTTTTTTTTTTTTGGTAAATTTTCAGAAGCTGCAAATCAATGCAGTATTTCTTCGACTCCATTGCTATTTTTGATTTTTATTCTCTGCCTGAGGTTCATAGCAACCAATGCTTGAGTCTGGGTATTTCTCAGACTCAAATAAATAATATATTGAGCAAAACAAATCAGTTGAAAAACTTATGGGTAGTTTATCTAGAGATTGTATTCTAGATTTATGAATATGAATATATTTGCATATAATCGTTTGTCCTTTTTACCAAATACATTTTTTTCCCCTCATGTAACTCCTCGGGTGACTGGTTTATAATTTTATTTCTGAGCACTTGACCCAAATCTGAGCCAATATTCACTTTGTGTGTAAAAACCTGTGAAGCTGATGAATATTTAAAAACAACTCTCTCATTATTCAGGCATTTAGCAAATATAAATAATTTGATTCTAACCGACATAAAAGATGAAGGTTCGATCTGATTAGTGAGAAAATAATGTTAGGTCTTTTGATGTGTTGTATGTAAATGTCTGGATTCAACTGTTGTTGTGTCTGAACTAAAATTGTGACATTATGGACATAAAACCTCCATATAACTGTGCCAATACAACTTGGCACAGTTATATTTGTGCCAAGTTGTACCTGTGTTACAGTGCTAATGATATGTCTAGAAAGTAAATTATCACCACAGCATTACATTAAAATGATTTATTCACTAACTACATTACAAAACATGTAGGTTCTCAAATTCCCCACCAGAACCCCCTCCCTTCTTTTGCAACCAAAGCTATGCAGAAAGCTGTCAGTATTTCTGTTTTTGCCACTGGCCATGTGAGCTCTCTAGCTGAAAATGGCTCTCAATGCTGTCAAAGTGTCTCCAGCTTTAACACATCAGGTTGAGGCGGTGGAGGTGTGAAATACCTGGCTGAGGTTCCCCCATGAGTTTCAGACAGTCTACGTGGACAACACTGAAGAAGTTAGAAACTGAAAAAGATCAGATTTCAAATTCAGACTTAAAATGTGAGCAAGCCTTCGCCTGCAAGAGCGAGCCAGAAAAAGCTGTTACATCATACCCATGTGCATTTGTTCCTGTGTACAGGCAGATGTGGATGGATATAAAATGGAGTAGGTGTGCATGTGTGGGAGTATTTATGCAAAAAGCAATATGTTTAAATGTGATGAAATTTGAAATTTAGCTATCCTCTAAATAGACACAGATTGAAATTTTTTCCATTGATTCAACCTTGCTTCCTCTTCTTTTTGTCTTGCAGGGATACTGTCTAAGATTATGTCTTCCTGGAGAATAGAAATACCTGAACAATCAACACACACGCACATGCACGCACACATACCAGTGTTCTGCTTCTTCACACATTAAAATAGGTAACAGACGTTTGCCAAGCACTCTTATGCAGCCTCAGTGCATTCTGTTTCCTTTTAAGTACTCCCATACAACATAAGTCTTTTGAGAACAAATGTACCAATTCCAATTGCCAACTTGACCATGGAGCTCAGAGCCATGTGGGGCCACAAGTACTGGATCCATTTCAAACAACAACTACTGTCGCTTTTCTTTTTTATTTGTCTCATGTTAAGAAAATCAAATGTAATATGTTAAAACAATTTTAATGTTCACACCTGTCTTGTTTGCTTACCAAAGTTGATGGGACAAGAAATAACATTAAATAAACTACACTGAAGAAGCATAAACCAACCACAAA